GGACTCCTTTCCCATCCTGGCCTCTGCCCCAGGACCCTGCTCAGAGGAGTCACCGCAGGGGCTTTGGGTCCCGAAAGCGGCCCAGGGAGGAGGTGTCCGCTCGAACCAGCCATGGGAATACCGCCGACAGACAGCGGCCCCCGTTCTCTGCTGGCATCACCCAGTGCTTGTCTCTGCTGGCCAGAGACCAAGGAGGGAACCCAGCCTAAGACACAGACTTCTGGAGCGGGGCGGGGGGACCAGAGCACATGGGTGTGTGGGCAGGACATCTGGACAGGAGAGGCCTGAGGCCAGAGACCGGGGCAGGGGTACGACCGTGCTAGCCATCAGTGATGGAGCCACAAGGCAGAGTCTGAGGGCTTAAGAGTGGGGGGCGGGTGTGAGAGGATTTAAGAAGCAGGTCTGGGGCCTCAGTAGGTATCAGAGAATTATCCCCTTCCTTGCCCCTAGGCCAGGTTCATGATGGGCCCAGGGTTCTGGCAGGTGGACTCGCTTTTGTTACTGGTGAGGCTGGGTTGGGGTACACCCTGAGGGGACCCTGGATGGACAGAGAGACCCAGTTTCCTAACATGTCCAGCCCATGTTGGGTGGCCAGCCAGGCCAAGTGGCATGGGTGTCCCCCAGCCCCCTGCCGCCCACCAGGCCCCTAGAGTGGGGCTGGGGAACAGGCACTCTGGCTGCCAGGCCTGGAGCCCGAGCATATGTCCCAGCATCTGCTCCCAGCCAGCCTCCCATTTGGGGCAGCGTTGGGCCTTTCGGAGGTCTGTGCCCATCCTGTCCCCACCAGCCCCCACCTGTTGTCAGGCCTCAGTCCCCAGGAGAAAGGCGCTGCCCTTCCAAAGGCGGTGGGCCTGCCCGTCTCCACGCATCCCGTATCGATCGTCCCAGGGAAAATCAATAGCTCCAATATGTCAGCTCTCAAGTGGCGCTACAATGAATTATTCCCGGCACTGGGCACACAAGGGCTGCAGCCTTCCTGCCCATTAGTGGGACATTAGGCCTCCTGCGAGGTTTCTCTGTGTGCTTTGAGATAATGAAGGCTGAGGTGTTAGCTTATGTCCCTGGGAGGCGGGGAGGGGGACCATGACCAAGAGCAGACAGGGCTGGCCGTACCAGGTACCTGTCACCCAGTGCTCGGCTGGGCTTGCTGGGTCAGGGGTGGGAGGAGGAGGGGAGGGCCCCAGAGACACAGGAGGCCCTCGATCCATCTGGTTGTGGCTTTGCTCACTGTGGGCCCACGGCATTGAAGGGTCCAGTGCACCATAGTAGTTGGGGCTGTCACTGCCCCCCAGCGGAGCACACCTGTGGCTGGACAAGGTGAGTTTATCTGCTTGCAGCCAGGAGAACGTGCCCCCGGGGACACGGATGTCTCGGTAGAAGGGAGTTAGGAAGGGCTGGGGGTTCAGGCCAGGGCTGGGTGAGAGGCTCTGCTCTGGGTCACACACTGTCAGGAAGCAGGCGGCTCTCTGAGTGGGTGCCTGCCTCAGTTTCCTGGGGCTGCCCCAACTAAGGACCACCAACCGGGTGCCTTAAAACAACAGAAAAGTTGTCTTCTCACAGTTCTGGGGGCCAGAAACCCAAAGCCAAGGTGTGAGCAGGGACACACCAGCACTTCCTTTGAGGGCTCCAGGGGAGTCTCCTCAGGCCTCTCTCGGAGCTTCTGGTGCTGCTGGCAATCCCGGGCATCGCTTGGTCTCTGCTCTTCACACGTCCTCCCCTGTGTGCCCAGGGTCTTCTCTCCTCTTCTTACACGACACCCGTCATTGGGCTTAGGGCTCACCCTGTCCCCTAGGACCTCATTTTAACAAATTACATCTGCAGAGACGCTGTTTCCAAATAAGGTCACGTGCCAAGGTTCTGGGTGGATGTGAATTTGTGAGGGACACCATTCGGCCCAGTACAGCATATTTTATTTTTGGTTTTACTTTTATTTAGTTATTTACTTTAATATATTTATTGATTTCAGAGAGGAAGGAAGAGGGAGCGAGAGATAGACACATCAATGATGAAAGAGAATCATTGGCTACCTCCAGCATTCCCCCACTGGGGATCGAGCCTGCAACCTGGACACGTGCCCTGACTGGGAATTGAACCATGACCTCCTGGTTCATAGGTCAATGCTCAACCACTGACCAGGACTTCGGTCCGCAGGCTGATGCTCTATTCACTGAGCCAAACCAGCTAGGGCCACTTTATTTTTATTTTGACGCTATTACAGATGTCCCCATTTCTTCCCCCACCTTTGCCCACCTCCACCCAGCCCTCTAGTACAGCACCTATAATAATAAAAGGGTAATATGCTAATCAGACCAGACATCCTTCCGGACGACCTTCCAGATGAAGCCAGGTCTGTGAGAGAAGCCCAGGACCTGGGTGCCAGAGGGAAACCGGCGCCAGCAGCCCGGGGAAGGAAGGCCTACTCTTGCGCGAATTTCGTGCATCGGGCCTCTAGTCTTAATATATCTTATCAGAAGGAGGGCAGGGGAGGCAAGGCTCCCCCATGGCTGGTAAAGGACAGCCTTCCCTCCTTTAGCCAGAACAGGTGTTTGTTCCTTTTTGAGGTCTGGGCTGTGTCCTTGTTTGTGTTCAGATGTGATGACAAGAGGGTGTGTTTCATGTGGAGCCATCACAGTCATGGCGTGGCCTGGTCTCGTGCTGATGTCCCCTGACAGTTATGTCCAACAGGAGGCCCGTTGAGCACCAGGCACCCCGTGGAGGCCAGGGGCTGCCATCCTCTTCAGACTCCACAAAGCTATGTTCTTTGCTCAGGCCTTTACCTCCAACAGAGACCAAGGGGCAGCAGGAGCTTGGGGCAAAGGACGGGTCATCCGGACACCGGGGTTCACTCATTCCTTATTATGGCCATGAGCTGCTCCTCCCAGACCCTGGCCTCAGAGCGCCCCCGGAACCCAGTGGCGGTAAGAGTGCCCTCCACTGCCTCAGGATAGGACATTTCTATGCTGTCCCGTTATTAATCACAACAGCTGTCCTGGGGTCCGCCACGGGCATCCCAGGCACAGGAGCAGTCCTAGCAGCAGCCTGCTAAGGAGGCGTGACATTTTACAGCCCATGAAACAGAAGCTGGAGGGGTTCAGTCACCCATACAAGGTGTCTTCTTCCCGTCACCCATCCAGGGCAGCCATCGAGACTGATACGGGCTTAGTGGCCCCTCAGAGTGAAGCCTGAGCCCCTGTCCTAGCCTCCCGGCTCTGCCCCTACTCTGTGCCCTGATGCCCTAAAGCAGCAGTTCCCAACCTGTGGGTCGCCAACCTGTGGGTTGCGACCCCTTTGGGGGTTGAACTACCCTTTCATGGGGGTCGCCTAAGGCCATCGGAAAACATATATAAGTGCATATTGTTTTTGTGATTAATCACTATGCTTTAATTATGTTCAATTTGTAACAATGAAATTGGGGGTCACCACAACATGAACTGTATTAAAGGGTCGCAGCATGAGGAAGGTTGAGAACCACTGCCCTAAAGCATTCCAACCAGGTGGCTGCATCAGCCTAATCAGCAACTCCACACCTAACTCCAGGGCTCTTTGATCGCCACCTCCTCCAGAAAGATTCTGGCCCCTCCTCCCACTTCCTGCCCTGTCCTCCTACCACCCACAGTGGGTGCTCCTGGGAGTCCCTGTGGGCCATTTGGTTGGGCAGTGATTCTGGGCGGGGTTCTGGGGTGGAAATGGTGGAGTGGGGCCCAATGAGGAGGATCTGGGTACACAGATGCGTCTGTTGACACAGCAACTTTGAACTCCTAGGTTGGGAGCTGAACTGCTGGCAAGCATCTGGAGCTAGGTTTCCTGGGGTGGGGAACATTCCCAGATGTTGCTGAGTTCAGGACGCCTCTAGCCCACCACCCTTGCTCTAATGTCTGGAGAGTTCCTGAGGGTTGCGCGAATTTCTGAGCCTTGAGTCTGGTGCTTCTGCCAGAAAGAAGGTGCAGGTGAGGGGCGCTCCAGAGGCAAAGAGGCTGAGCTAGGGAGGCAGCACATTACAGTCCACAAGGTGGCCTCCTGACCTGACTTTTGTCACTAAGTTACCCCCATCA